GTAAGGTAGTAAGTTGTCGCTGTTTTTTGCTGCTATCGGGATATTCGTTATTTGTCTGAATCTTGAAAGTGTGTCTGTTTTTGCTGTATATTTTTTTTAGTACGTCTTAGTTACTTTCATATGTTGTAGCTGCCCCAAAGTTATGAGCAGGCGCCCAGGACCTCCATCTATTGATGGTCTTTTTTCTTTAAAGGTAAGTAGAAGTAGTACACATTGCTCTTAAGAAGTCATTTAAGAATTTTTTTGTAATATATGCGTTTATTTAAACCTAATTTAATTTTTAGATTGATAACATATCCTATCAGACGACTCCACAAGATTTGAGGCGTTTATTTGAGAAATATGGGGAGATTGGAGACATTCATATCCCGCGTGACAGGTACACGAAGCAGAGCAAAGGTTTTGGATTCGTTAGGTATTATAGCCGTAGGGATGCCGAATATGCGATGGACAGGATGGATGGCCGCTGGTTAGATGGTCGTGAAGTGCGAGTTGCAATGGCACGGTATGAAAGGCCTATTGACGAAAGGAACGCTCGGAGCGGCGGATATCGCAGTCGGCGGTTGGTTTAATACTGTTCTCATCTTGTAATAATCTGAGAAATGATATAAGATTCAAAGTTACTTTTGTGAAAGAGAATTGAATTCACTGACTTGCTGTTTCAGAATCTTGCTTTGGTGCTGGAAGCTTTTTTTAGTTTCTTCTCTTTAGTTTTAGTTTCACCTACTTATAGAAACTGCGGTTGGTAAGTATGCGGCTTTCGGTTTGGAGTTCTTGAGCTATTGATTTCTTACTTGCATTATGTGTATTTATTTTTCTTAGGCTGAGAGCATGACTGGTGCTTCATATAACTAGGAAAAAAATATTTTTATCGCTTTAGCAGCCTATTAAGCTTTAAAAGGGATTTGTGGTTACAAGGAAAAGAATAATAAATTGCAAATTTTCAAGGGCGGCTGCGGTTTGCTGTTTGGCTGCCGAAGTAAGCTGCTGTTGCAGTACAGAGCAGATGGTTCAGAAGGCAGAATTGCTCATATACTGAAGGTTGAATCTAGTTTCCGGAAAGCAGAGTGAATTATTGACTGCTGAAAACGTTGAGGGACACTTTTTCTCTTAACGTTATAAAACTTCACTGTTTCTTTCTTATGCAGTGTCCAGAGTAACTGAAAAAAAGCCGAACATTTTGCCGTTTGCTGTCTGAGTTCCTGAGTATATTGCCTTTCCGGAATGTAAGTTGATTTTTAAGTGGTGTATGTTGGGAATCAGCAAGCGTTGTTAAAAAACATTTGCGCGTTTTAAGAAATGGTTTGCTGCTTTTTCTGGTAGGTTTTATTTTTGACACGGGTTTTTTTACGTCAAAAAGTCAAAAATAATGTTCTTCTAACTGACCTTTTCTTTCTTACTGTACTAACTCTCATAACAAATTTCTTTTTGTTCATTGAAAGTGCTCGTTAATAAGCTTCGAAATTATATTAAAGCAGCGCATATTTTTCCAGTTTGTGAAAATTGTACAGCTTTTTGGATTTCGCATTATATGGGGAAGTCTGTTTTCGCAAGGTGAAGATTGAAAAAAAAGACACTCTACTTAATATTGAGTACTTGGTTTTCTTTAGATCTCGGACGAGGTCACGTTCTCGATCTCCGCGCCGTCGTCGTAGCCGGTCATCTCCATCTCGTTCACGAAGTCGTAGTGGCTCTGCTCGAGGCAAGCGTGAGTCGTCGTCACCTGGTAGAAGCGATCCTCCAAGGGGGAGTTCATCTCGTGAAAAAAGTGCATCTCGCTCGCATTCTAACAGTCCAGTGGCTAAGAACGGTGACCGGTCCAGGACACCAAGTGAAAGCCCCCATTAATATGTTGCTTGGTTAGCATTCCAGTTAGCCTCCGCTTACAATGTTAGATGTTATGCGGTTAGATTAACGAGCATTCGGTTCGGAAGTTGTTGATCATTCGTCACTGTTTTCCTTCCTTATCCTTCGTTTAGGCCAGAAGTTTTTCCCCGTTTTCATTTCATGAGTCATAATCGGCTACGTTTAGGGATGCGATTTCAAAAATACCATGGCTTAAAGCGAGGCTTTGATACTCGAGTACTGTTTGTATGAAATGCTTTCACTAAATAAAAGACTCTCTACACTATTTCAATTCACCAAACTGGCAACAGTCAGGAATTCTTCATCTTAGATGAAATTATTTGAAATGTAGTATGCGCAGTATTTTTTTAAAACTTTTTAGCGTTTGGCCTCTACAAAGTTTGCAGAAAAACAGTTCTCATAACTGTTTTGTACGGTAGGCTCATAAGCATTAAAGTGGTTTCTCCGTTGAAACCAGGGAAAGTTGTTAATATGTTGTTGAAAATCTGTTGTCAGTTAAAGATTCAAAGTTACGAAATACGAAGCATCTTTTTTTGGGGCAAAGGAGAGTTCATTTTCCAAGTAGCTAATTCACCGGGACCTGTTGGCTGGCTTTTTTGCAAAATTATCCCCTCTGGCGCAGAATAATTAGCGTAGAGTAAGGTAATATGGGGAATTTCAATGTGGTCTAAATAGCGAATCACCACGGGTTGCTCTTTGTACAGTGCAGCTCTTAAGTGGAGCTTTTAGTGATGGCGCTGATGGGTCTTACTTGGAGCAGAATCATTAGAGCCAGGAGGAGTGTTGTTAGAACGCAGTTCGACGGCCACTGAAAGAATCTTGGAACAGACGAAGCCATTAAGTTTGCAGCTGCGGCTTTCAGCTTCTAAATTACCGCTTCCTCACAACTCTGAAACATGCCGTTACTTAATTTTTTTCCTGATCATGGCTCCTTCATTCGGCTTCGTACTTGAGGAAGAAGGGACGTGCAACTGTGGGAGATTACTTGTAAGGGAAATTGGGTCGGTTCTACATTTAAAAGTTTTAGGAACATTGTCAGGTTGAAAAGTGATAGAGGTTAAAGGAAAGGAAAGTGTTTTCCTTTACATTCGAAAGGTTTTAAAGGGGCATAACAAATTATCTCAGACTCAATTAAATTTGCGAGAAGGCAAGGACTATTCAATAGCACTTGATGACAATATACGAAAAAGCCAATCAAAAAAACTGTAAACTTTGTATTTACTAAATGCTCTTTTCACATAATTTTTTAATGTCTTCAGTGGTAACGTTTTATAGTCTTTAGTCCAATTCGAAGACTCGTAGAGTGTAGCTTATTTATGCTATAAATATTTCATTTGTTGGTGTCATTTCTGCTTGCTGACAAACACCGTTCTTCTTCACTGGTCAGCTTCAAGCAGTAGGCACACTAAGAGCACTCTTGTTTCTTTAAAGAATAAAGTTAGACTTGTAAATCAGATTACTAAATGAGCTTCAAAATTAGCTCTAAGAATAGCCATAAGGCACCAGTGTTTCATAAACTTGTAGTTTCTCTTGATATGAAGCTAGTAGTTCCAGGTTTAAAAAGCTTAAAAATGCCGTCTTTCGGTAATTTTTTTATTTTCCAGTGTCCCTTTTAATTCTCCTCTATTTTCATCTATCTTGAGGAGTAGATGTTTATTAATTCAAGCGGTTTTCCGCCAGATGTACCCCTAAATGCTGCATTACAGAAGTTTTCTGGTGAGCGTTTGCAATCAGTGTTTTAAGGGAATCACCAAAGGAGACAAAGCGCACTATTCGTCCGCTTCCGCTTCCTTTCAAACGGAATGAAGTATTCCATCAAAATGCTATTACGCAGCCGAGTAGAAGGCACTCAGATTAGGACTGCATAACTGGAATTTAGCTGAAAAGCAGATGTTACATCGTTAAACATTCCAAAATAACTGCATCAATCTCAGTCTCTGTAATAGAAACACAACGTGCAAGAAACTGCTGCTTTTTCTTTTTTTGAGACTTCTATTAGTCTTGGGTGAAGTAGTGTCATATTTGGTCCTTAGCTAACTGTAAAAATCGTTTTACAGTCACATACTTGAGCGTAAAATTGCTTTCCAACTACGTAAAACGCACCCGATACGGGGTCGAGTAATAAGGTCTCAAGAACGGTTGCATACTTTTTAATTATTTTTGACTTTATGGTAGACTTTTTTGGTTGTTTTCTTTTTATTTTTTTCCAAAATCTAACCCTGTTGTTGTATTACTGGGTACTGTTTCATAACTGGAAAGCTTGTTTTGGCTTGTTTATTCTTCTAGTCTTTCGCAAACAAAGCAAAGCTTACAAAGTTCCGGGTTAGCAGTTTCAGATTGTTCAACTAAAATTAATTACCTTGATTGCTAGTTTTTTTTGATTAGAAAAGCATTTTGAAAAATTAATTGAGTAAAACAAATTTAAAGTTAACTTTTCTTGCTGTTTACGTAGCTGTAGTTCCTCCCTTAAATTTTAAGATTTGTTGAGGGCTACTGCTCTTCGTGTGGTTAAAATTCTACCATCATTTGCAACTTTAATATTTTAACTTGTCTACGGAGCAGGTCAAATGTTTTTTGCTAAGACAAATTTTTCACTGCTGAAAATGTATCGTCTGGTCAGAAGATCTGAGAAACTTTTGAATCTTACAGACAGAAACTTTTGGCTGACAGGATGACCGTTGCAGTACTTTGTTATTCTGTTGTCAAGACTACCCTTTACATTCAATGCAAAAAAAATTAATCAGAAAGAAAAAAGTGGAATCTACTGGCAATTTTATTTACCAGTTTATTTTTTATAATTTATATTAGAATATTCATCTATACGTCACATATCTAACCATAGTAGCTTATTGTACACGCTCTGTTTAAGGGGTCGCAAACTGCGGAGGAGAATTATTACTATGTTTTTCTTTAAAACTTTGTGCTATGTGTTATTACGCAAATAGCTCTTTGACATTTCGAGTACCTAGCTCTCTCTTTTAAAATTTGTTCATTAAATTGATCAAAGCATTTCGAGAGCTTTTAAGAAAAAAAATTTAATTAGTTCTTAAACTTGACTACGGAACACATTTTGTCAAGCTGGTTTAGAAAGAATGGACCTTGCAAAAATTGCGATCTAGTTTAATCACGGAAAAGAATACTTAGGGTAATAGGAAAGCACAATTTGCTTTAAGAAATACGAAAGTGGTATCTAGAAAAATTGGGCAAAAAGTGGTTTTTTTTCAGAGTTGATCAATAAACGTTTAGAATATTGTTGTAGTCATTGATGTCGACGGATTTAATTAATTTTTTATTTTAACTAACATCTACTGAAACCACTGCAGTGATAAAACTTCGTTTGAGAAGTTAAGATTTTTGATATGAAATGGAGTAAAATTGTTTTTCGATATACGTTGTTTGTTCGACTGACTGGACCACTTGAGGAGCGTCTGTTTGGTAGTGGATTTGTATTAAGTGATGAACAATTATACGGATCAGTTACGGCTTCCTTTTTGATTTGTTTTTTGCAATATAGAATATAAGATTTTTTGA